CAAGCCGGCTCGTGATAGCGAGCCGGCAGTAGACCTCACGGCATCACCCCGGGCCAAACGCAAAGTGTTTTACGTTGGCAACGTGCAGCCACACTGCTCCGCATCATCAATTGCTGAATGGTGCTCTGCCCGAGGAGTGCAGATTCAGGAAGGTGTCATATTTGCATCCAAGCACTTCAGAACTGCCTACGCACGGGTGACCGTCGAGGCAGCTGATGAGAACACAGTCGGTGACAAAGGGTTCTGGCCGGATGCTCTTTCGCACACGGTTAGGCCCTGGCGTTTTGCCGCGGACAGTTTTGACACCAGCAATGCCAACCAGGCAAACAACGTCCTCTCCTCAGGCTCAGCATGATGGCGCGACCACAGCTGAATCCACTGGCTCGGCCCTACTTCCCCCCTTGCCAGGGTAAACTGACCTTGCTTTCCGTAAATTGCCGCTCAATCGTTAACAAATCTGCCGAACTGTCTGTCATTGCTGATTTCAACAAACCTGATGTCATCTGTCTAAATGAAACATGGCTAAATCCAAGCATAGCGCTCACCATCTCCGGTTATACCACATTTCGTCGCGACCGACCACCTCATGATAACAAATCCGGTACGGCAACCAGAGGATATGGTGGAGTTGCGATTCTTGTCCGGCAAAATCGCTTCGGAAGAGTCCAAGTTCGCGACGACCTTGCTCGTCCGACCTGTGAATCCGTATGGGTTGAGCTTCACCCAATCTTAGGCTCCCCGACACCCATCCTCGTCTGCTGTACCTACCGTCCGCCCTCAGTCAAAACCACGGAAATAGACCACTTCTGTGATATGCTAGCTAGTGCTTTGGTAACCGTTCCCATGTCATCGTACCATGTCATAATGGCTGGGGACTTCAACAGTAAGCACAAACGGTGGTGCCCATCGGATTTAACGTGTCCTGCTGGGACGGCACTTTTTCGCACCCTTACCTGCTTCGGTTTGGATCAGCTGGTGCAGAGTCCAACGCACACAACATCTTCCGGAACACAGTCATGTCTAGACCTTGTCTTCACGAACCAACCCCTGCTGGCGACGGACGTTCACACAGCTTGCGCTCTTGGCTCCTCGGACCATCTCATGGTTTCATGCCAGTTCGCCGTCTCATTGCCCTCGGATCCAGACCTGCCACTTCCTTCTCGCAAACCGTTCCCATATCGCTTCCGTCGAGTTCCCTCTCAGTGCTGGGACTCTATGAACGCTGATTTCTCCTGCCACGACTGGTCGTTTCTGCAACCAGAAGGCTCTCCAACTGTTGACGCCGCGGTAGATCACTTTGCAGCCGTCCTTGAACGAGGGTTCCAACAGCACCTCTCTAACTTTGCTATCGGCTACAACAACCGGAAACATTCCAACCCAACATCCTCGACATCTAGTCCCCCATGGGTGACACGGTCCCTCGTATCTGAAGTGAAGCGCAAGCGTGATCTTTTCAGCATCTACAAGAAATTCCCAACGCCGGTTAACCGGGAGGCTTACCGAGTTCAACGCAACTTCGTCAAGCACCTTTCTCGTACCTCACACCGCTCCTTTCTAAACTCTCTTTCTGCAACACTCTCCTCCCCCGATCGCCCATCACTCCACCAATTCATTCGCAACCAGTGCCGCGGGACCTCCCGCGCGCCAATCCAGTACCTGACGGACTCCCATGGCAACCGCCAGCACGATGTGAAGGCGATTGCAGACACACTGAACAAGCAGTTTGTTTCATCCGGCATTCCGGAAGATCCGAATTGGGTCATTCCATCGCTGTCCCCAGCCCCTGAACTTAGCGCACCACTCACACGCGTCGTTACCACGACTGCTACCGTCTGTAAGCACCTCAAACTCCTGAAGAATTGTAAGTCCCCTGGCGAAGATGGCATACCCAATGAGGTTCTCAAATGGCTTGCGCCATCTCTGTCCTATCCCTTGTGCCTGCTCTTTAACATGTCATATCGTACAGGAGTATTTCCGTCCGTCTGGAAATCTGCTGTTATCGTCCCGATCTATAAGAAAGGCCAACGCTCTCAGGCTGGCAACTACAGACCAATCTCTCTCCTTCCCGCTGTGTCCAAGGTCTGTGAACGTATTTTCTTTGAGTCTCTGTACTGCCACGTCACCCCAGCGCTTTCACCATCTCAATCCGGTTTCTGCCGTGGAGACTCCACAACTTTCCAACTAACACGTCTAGTACAAGACATCTACACCCAGCGGAACCTCAGGCGGCATGTTGGCATCGTGTTCTTTGACCTAGCGAAAGCTTTCGACACCGTCTGGCATCGTGGTCTGCTTGCAAAGCTAGAGTCCGTCTCCTTGGTACACGGTCCAGCCCTGCAATGGCTCTCATCCTATCTTTCCTGCCGCCACCAGACTGTCAGAGTATCTACCTCCCTATCAGACCCATTACTAGTCGTGTCTGGGGTACCCCAGGGGTCCATACTTGGGCCGCTCCTATTTCTACTGTACGTTAATGACTTGCCAGCCCTTGTACCAAATGTAAGTCTTTTTGCTGACGACACTGCTCTGATGTGCTCCGACAGCTCGGCAGACAACCTCACGGCCTCCATGCAGTCCGGGGTCAACGCTACAGTAACATGGATGGAAACCTGGAAACTGAAGCCTAACCTCGCCAAAACCGAGGCCATGTTCTTCTCTCCCTCGCCCCCCACTCAACTTCTGTATTTTCCTGGTCTAAATAGTACACCTATTAAAGTTGTTAACGAGCACAAGCACCTGGGCGTTATTCTCGACCGCCAACTCTCCTGGTCTCCACAAGTCCAGTCTGTGTGCAAGCGTGCGAGTGCGTCCTTAGGTATGCTACAACCCCACTGCCAACACTTGAATGATAACTGCAGAAAATTGTTCTTTAAGTCGTACATTTTGACTATATTTGACTATTGCGATATAGCTTGGTGCGGGTTGTCTCAGACTTTACTCCACAGACTGGAGGTACATCAACGCTTGCTTCTGAAAATTCTGTTTCGAAAAGACCAAACATTTGCCTCCCTTTGTCTTTATAAACTTGCTTCCACGCACCCTCTTCTTGCCCGACATCAGCAGCATCTTTGTATCCTTGTGCAAAAAATCTTCCTAGCCCAAGTCCCGAAACATATTGCCAAGTACAACTGGTTTGTTACCACTAGACCAACACGCAATGCCTTATCACTGCCCCGAGCTAGTTCCTCTCTGTTTTTGAAATCCCCTTTCTTCTCAGCATACTCCCTTTGGTCTAACCTGCCTACTAGCATTAAGACATGCCAGGATATCAGGAAATTCACAGTCCAGCTTTCCACACTGTCTCATCCGAAGTGATCCCATGTATTATTAATGTGCCTCCCTTTCTTTTTCTCTCCCTATCTCCTTTCCCTCTCTGACAGCATCTTTCTTTTTTTTTCCCTTTTAGCTTGCCGTGGTTGGCTATCACCTGACCTCTCATGTTTATTGGCAGTCTTCGGACGGGCCAGGAGATGTTGAATAAATAAATAAATAAAAATGTTATTCCATTGTCTATCCGTTTGGAATTCTTTACCCACGTGTATTGGGGAGATTGAACACCCCCACCGGCAATTCCGTACATCCCTCATGCAACAATTTTCTACTTGTATGTATTCTGTTTCTGGTATTCCCGCTTTCTCCCGACAGTATTGATTAACAAGCCATACACTGCACTCATCTCCTTTCCTCTCTCTCTTCCTCCCTTTCCTTAAACGGTACACAGGAGAGCCCCTCGATAGGCCTCTGCGGCCTTTGGACAATCCTTAAATAAAATCAATCAATCAATCAATAAATCAATAGGTCTGGCACATCGAAAAACTGAAATATTTGGAGCTCTTAGTTCAAGCCACATTTTCAGAGTCAGGAAGTAGGAAATGGCAAGAAACCCAGCTTCCCGTCACCTTCTAAGTTGACATCACGAGCAATGACCATTATCAGCCAGCAATGTTTTACTAGAGCAAAGGCGCTGGCGCATGGCGGGAACAGAAAGCTTTCCATCCAGGAACGTTTCTTTCTCAGCGAAAAAAAACAAATAAAAAGGAAAGGAACAAAAAAGGAGCCATACCCGATACCCAGGTGTGTAGTCCCTGAAAAGGCTCTCCCACAGATTCCAGTACAAAGGCCACGGCCAAGTGTCCCACTGAGATGCGGTCGCTTGCCCGGACCGCTGGGACGCGGACACCTACGAAGAGCAGCCTGTGACGTTTCTTTTTTATGAAAGAAAATCCGCAAAAATAGATAAGCTTGTCCCTTTAGCCGGAAGCAGTCTTTGATTGGTCCAGCCATTAGGGTCCGGCGGATTCTGCCGGCAGAAAAATTGGCAGAATTCGGTACTTTTTCTGGTAAGTTTACATGTTTGGTATGTGGATAAAGAAATGGAGGAATGGCAGAATTCGAGGAATTGCCCGCCATAAGGTTTGTATGGTTCTGCCAAGTTCACTGCTTTTCGAGCAGAATCTGCCACCTTTTCGAGCAGAATCCGCCGGTCCCTACCGGCCGGCGGCCATACCCTAGCCTTTCATACAGTTTGTGTATGCTATGGATGGTATACTAGGGTGTACATTATTACCTCCTCAGCAGTAACACACACGTCACATGACCTCCTCAGCAGTAACACACACGTCACGTGACCTCCTCAGCAGTAACACACACGTCACATGACCTCCTCAGCAGTAACACACACGTCACATGACCTCCTCAGCAGTAAACACACACGTCGGTAGCCAAAACCGTTGGTGCGGCCATGGCCAGAGCACTGAAGACGGGACCGGTACCGCCGGGCCTCAAGTACATGTGTTGTTTATACAGTTGTCATCATAGGAACAGTTTATTTCCATCAAGAACGTTTTCTCGTGATGATCTCCAGATAGACTGCATGACTGACTGGTAGACAAAGATCATGGTCAAGGTATTAAACGAATCAAGGTCAATGCACAGTAAGGTAAACAGTACAGTACATTCCATGCAAAAAGAAAGTAATTTCTAATCCCGCATAGTAAGATCTCTCTCCACTGTACACCATCCACTACGCCAGACACACACGTACACAAGCACCCACACACACACACGAAACAGCTTCACTCCAAATCCTCTACGCTCATCTCGCGGAACTCCCGCTCCACCGGCAGGACATCCTGGCTGTCGCCACCACCATCACCGTGGTTACCAACATGGCCGCCTGCACCATCACCTTGGTTACCAACATGGCCGATGCTAGGAACCGAGCTAGCCAGCTTCATGTCATCCACTTCATCGTCGTCTTCGTCTTCCGCGTCGAGTTGGGACGGATCAGCGGCAAGCTGCTCTCGATTCTCGTAAAGCCAGAACCCCTTGAGATCGATGAGAAGACTTATCACCGTATCGCCTTGCCCACTGAATGTCGAGAGAGAGAGAGAAAGAAAGAGAGAGAGAGAGATAGAGAGAGAGAGAGCACAGTTTGATGGAAAGTCTAAATGGAAGCTCACTTTGCAAACACACACTCTCGTCTCGAAATGGGGGATTTACCTACGTAAGTGTCGCCCTACAGTCCATTCATAAAAAGATGGGCCCTGGCTTTGGCGACCCCCCGTATTTGGCGATTTTTCGTGATTTCATTGTACACAGTGCAGCGCTGCGAAATTAGAACTTTGAAAAAGGGTCCAAAAAGGGTACTTGAACTGGGGTTCGAACCCCACAATGCACTGTTGCAGGCGCGGTCAAACGGCCTGGATTTTGATGGTTTTTCCCAATTCAATGCTTTTTGGGGCAAAACCTGGCCGATATCCTATTCTTGTGATGGCTTGCTTTTTGGACAAATAAACTTCAGAAACATAATTGGAAGAGGATTTCATAGGGGATTGCAGAAAAACATTCTAAAAAAACTCAAAGTTTGACCCCTTTATGGCCAAAAGCTAGAAGACCATCTTTTTCTGAATGGACTGTAGGCTAGAAATATCCAGAATCACCTGGAAATACCTGGGAAATACATGGAAATACCTGGAAATACCTGGAAATTACCTGGAAACATCTAGGAAACACCTGGGAGATACTGGAAAATACCTGGAAAATGCCTGGCGAATACCTTGAAAAACACCTTGGAAAGACCAGGGAAAAACTTGGGAAACACTCGTGAACACCTGGGAAACGCCTGGGAATACCTGGTAACAACTGGGAAATGCCTGGAATTACCTGGAAAACACCTGGAATCGCCCAGCAGTACCTGGATATACAGGTCGTCCCTCGTTAATACATAATCTCTGGGACTTGACAAATGTTATGTATTAACGGGGTTTATGTACTAAACGAAAGTGTACATAACTTGCTTGTGTACCAGAATTTTTCACTTTCTCAACTTTTCTGAGTGCTTCTTGCTACCATGACCAGGGAGCGAGATATTCTTGATTCCCTCAATATAACATAACAATTATGTTATAACGGTCACAGTTAGCGAAGATTCTACAGTTTACATGAGACATGGCCAGCCGCACCTGTACAGTCACTCGGAAAAACAGAGCTTTCTCGACTTGTGATGTGCGCTCTGATTTCTGAGCTAATTGCGTCCACAAGTAGAAACTAGAACACAATGTGCCTCTACTGGAAGGCCAAAAGACCAACAAATTATGCATTATTGAGGTAGGTGGCATGCGGGTACGGAGAAATGTTCTGTACTAACGGGGCTTATGTACTAACGAATTATGTACTAACCAACAAAATTTGTATGGAAGTGACCACGTTTCGTCCGGGACTTGAGATTTCTTATGTACTAACGGGGTTTATGTACTAACCGGACTCGTATTAACGGGGAGGACCTGTACCTGGAAATATATTGTTTGACTACAGCTCAGATTGTATTCCATGATGTTACTTGAATCGCGTAATTCCGGGGGGGGGGGGGGGGCTCTTTGTGGCACTCCAGGATCAGCTACTGCAGTCTATCCTTTGAGCTTCTCACCATCTTAGCAGATCTTCCAGTGTAATTTTGAGCGAATCCACCGGCTTGACCATATCAAAGATCTCATCCTGGAAAAAAAACAAAAAAGCAAAATAGCATTGCTCATGACAAGCAACGTCCCGGGTTCAAGTCCTGGTGGGTCTGGCATGTTTTTCTCTTTTCAGGCAGTTCACTTCCCCGAATGATCCTTTGAAATGATCAGAGCGTTCTCGCTTATAGGTAGCAGCGCTAACCAGCCAGCGGTGAAAACAAAATTGCACGGGTTCTCGTGCAGGGCGTGTCAAGAACCACCTTTCTGCTTCCGTGGGACGCCACCACCTCGTGATCAGGCGTCAGATGCGGCTCCTAAACCGGGGAAAGCACTCATAGCAGCCTCCGGGTTTCTTACCCAGACTGCATTATACCCTTGTGGAACAGCTTACCAGCGGCCGTCCTACCTGCAGGGCTGCAACCCACACAGCTCCAGTCTTTCAAGGAAAAGTGCAACAAGTATCTGCCGCACCTGAACTGGCAAACAACCACCGATGCCCTATGAAACGTTATGGTGCAGACCAGTGCCTCACTAGCATCTTCCCTCCCTCCTCACTACATGTTATCTCTCATTCTGCTTCTCCCACGACCAGCTACCTATTGTCCTCATTCCTCACTACTATAAAGAGTACATAACCAAGAGTGTGCAACTCCAAGATCCCCCAGCCCACGTTGTTTCAGCGCCGTGAACCTAAGCGCTGAATTTTACAGCACCACATATTTCAGCCTCGTATACTTCAGCGCCAGCAGATCAGTGCCGAATATCTCAGCACCACATAAATCAGCGTCATATAGTTCAGCGCCAAATACTTCAGCGCGACCTTTCTCAGAGCGACAGATCTCAGTGCCACAGATCTAAGCGCCATGTTTCTCACTGCCACAGATCTAAGCGCTATGTTTCTCACTGCCACAGATCTAAGCGCCATGTTTCTCACTGCCACAGATCTAAGCGCCATGTTTCTCACTGCCACAGATCTAAGCGCCATGTTTCTCACTGCCACAGATCTAAGCGCCATGTTTCTCACTGCCACAGATCTAAGCGCCATGTTTCTCACTGCCACAGATCTAAGCGCCATGTTTCTCACTGCCACAGATCTAAGCGCCATGTTTCTCAGTGCCACAGATCTAAGCGCCATGTTTCTCAGCGCCATTTTACTATACAATGTATGTATGAACATGGCCTGTAACGACTATGACTGGACAAGTATTGACTTTGCGCTCTACTGTGCCACACTCTACTGTATCACGCTCTACTGTATCGCGCTGTACTGTATCGCGCTGTACTTTATCGCGCTGAACTTCTCCGCGCTGAACTTCTTCGCCCTGTACTTCTTCGCGCTGTAAATTATTGCGCCTTACTTTTGGCTGGCGCTATACTTTACCGCGCTGATAGTCATGGAGCTGAAGAAGCTGGCGCTGTGAAATCATGCGCTGAGTACTGGCGCTGAAACGGTGGCGCTGAAGTGGCAAGTCAGTGTTGAAGTCACCACAAAGGATGTGATTGCATGGAGCTGCAACTGGACAAGTAAAATTTCTGTTGATCACCGGTATACCGGCTTTTTTTTTCTCTACTACAAGCTACTACGTGCTTTGTGTGCTTACAGCGGATCTACATTAGGGTGTTCGGACGATTTTGAAAGTTGCTCCAATCTCCTCGATTTTAGTCTCATTGGAAAGAGTAGGATAAACTAGCCGGGAAATATATGAGGTTTGTCTAAATGCGACCAGACGTTCAAGAGTTATGATCGTTTGAAGTGCGCTTGTTGGCACTTTTTCTGGAACAGTTTTGATGCAGGCCAGTGGCACAAAACCGGGAAATTCAAAACCAACTAGAACAAGGTGAAAATCAATTTCGTTCAGGGTCTTTCAAATTTCCACAGATGATAGCCAATAGAGAGCTTCCATCACTTGACCAATTTTTTTGGTATTCCAATTAGCCAAATTCAAATTACGCCCATAGCAACCACCATAGCAACGCGTACAAATTAGTCGAAATAGATGCGAAAGATGTAACCCTTCACAGGCTGAAGCTAATTGGAATACGGGTACTACAAAGACACATCACCAGGAGGAGATTACAGTTATCTACCCCATGTAGATGAAGCACAAGCTGATTGTAGCCCGCGTGGTATTAGCCACTAGCCACTATTGTAGGCCAATAATTGGTACCTGATGGAGAGGTCCTCGCTCGCTCGCTGAGATCAGCACCACACGCAGGTAATACGTTGTTCAGTCCTGCAGCCGGCTACATTGCTACAGTGCGCTCACGTACGCCTACAAGTAGATGCGCTGCCGTCAGAGACCCCGGAGGAGCAGCGGGTTGTTCGAGAGAAATGACACGGAGAGAGTGGCTCTAGAAAGTTTGGAGTCACAGTTTTGTCCCCAGCAATGCACAAGCTGCTGTTGCCTTACTTCACAACGACCACACTGGCACTGCTTGCGGCGTTGAACGTCTGCAAAAAAACTGTCCAGTCCCAGGCTCAACACTGGGCCATTGGTTGAATCGTATTGTTTTGATTGATATTGCAGTAAACAATTTTAGCTGGTTGAAACTCGCCTCAGTTCTCAACTAGTCTTTGCATGTAGCTGCGTAGGCAAGGCCAAGGTTGTTTTGTCAATCAGCAGTCAGAAGAAATAAGTTTTGCGATCAAAAGATTCAAAACACAAAACAAACGCGCTTTCCGCGGGCCAGATGATGCCTTGATGGCCCAGATCTGCACGACTCACCAGTCTACGCTGCGGGTGCCCCGGTGCATGCATGACATGACAGCGAGACACTTCGTCGCGAGCCATCTCGATACGAGGTGGTCATCGAATGACGCGACTGTGCGATTTCATGGGGGGGGGGGGGGGTTCGGCGCTGAATGCATTCAATGAGTATTTTTGGCGAAGTTTTGACTCATGTTGACTCCCAGGAAATGCAACGCAAGTTGCTGAACCTTATCCATAACTATGTTACTAGTACATACACAAATAGGAGATCCCCCAGATAGGCGTTAGCCTTTGGGTAATCCTGAAACGAGAGAGCTTGGAAGCTCAGGGCCCTACGCTATGCTTTTTTGCCTTGATGACCTAGACAAAAAAAAGCATAGGGATGTTATAAATTCTTTAAAAAATTCCTTTTTTTTAAGACATAACCTAGGATTCGAACCCGCACTATCGCGCTCCCTGCATGCATCCCCCGATACACTTCGCATACATACTAATTCTTCCAAGTTGTTTCACATTGTGATCTTGCATTTGAAAGCCCTATTTGAATATGCATTGTGGCCAGCCGTCTTTGATGGCACGGTACGGTAGGGGATAGGTACGGGACAGGTACGATCGAGGGTAATACGACACCGTCTCCCGTACCGTACCATCAAACACAGCTGGCCACATACAGCTGCCCGCAATATTCAAATAGGGCTTTCAAACGCAAGATAATTATAGCAATAAAAACTGCTTTATGGCAGTTTTCTAAAAAAAGGTTATTGTGTTCTAGTCCATGGACCCCGTCTAAAAAGTAAGAAATTAACGAAATGTGATAGCTGAAAATTAAAATTTCACACAAAACCTCACAATAATCACAACACTTGAAATGCTGCTTTCAATACTAAACTTGTACTGCACCAACAATTGGCAACATGCATGCATAGGAAAGAAGATCACGAGGGGAAAAGGTCTTCTGCATGTAGCTTTTCATTCTGTGTGTGTGATTATTGTGAGGTTTTGTGTGAAATTTTAATTTTCAGCTATCACATTTCGTTAATTTCTTACTTTTTAGACGGGGTCCATGGACTAGAACACAATAACCTTTTTTTAGAAAACTGCCATAAAGCAGTTTTTATTGCTATAATTTCTTTTGTTTTTTCTGTCACCAATCAATGGAATGCCCAATATCAATTTAATTATATGTAAATGATGGCCTTCACATCATATCAATACCGTATTATACGCATTGATGTGCAAGTCTTTTCTTGCAGAAAATGGCACTAGCATAATGCATGTTCTTCTGCGGGGAAACATGTGAGCAGTGGTGGTGATACTTTTTTTATACGGAGGTCATTCTGTGCAAGTTGCTGTTGCAGAATTTCATGACTCTGTCATAAAATTGTCTTGCCTTTCAGATATTTCAGATTTCTCCACGCTCAATCAGATTTATTTGAGAAATGTAGCCATGCGCCAGGTGCGTGTCGCAGATGTTTTTGTTGATTCTGTGTTTATAATGGTTTATAGTCATGGGTTATCGTGATAAGGTCATCCAGCATCATATTGAAACTGAAATCGTAATCCTGTTGATGTCGATACAACTTTTGGAAGTAGTTCAATGACTTCAAACTGTTAGTCCACGATTGTCTAAAACAACACAGCAAAGGAGGAACAATAAACATGTATTAAAATGTAACCGAATACATTGCTGAGTCCAAAACCTCGTTCCAACAACTACACTGATCCTGAGGAGAAAAGGGGCAAGGCTATGGTTGGAGGTACTGAGAGATAAACAAGGCACTCCACATCTTTTGGTGAGTATGAATGATATCCAGTCGAACCTCTTTAGGACGAACACCAAGGGACCGATGGTATTTATTCTGTGAGCTTAACCTATTTTATAACCAGAGAATACAATTATATCTTCAATAGACATACGAATAGATTTCTTCTACAGCGAAAGATGCTAAGCCACACCGACTGATTGACTCGTCCTGTATGAAACAATTGAGTCAGTAGTGAGATTCTGCCAAACGAAAATGCGTACAACCTTTGGCTCTACATTGTAGTGATTTGCGATAAGCCTCCGGTTTTAACGATTTGTTTTACGGAGATTTTCCATGTGTTTTGAAATTAAATTATTTGCATTCTTTTATGATAATATATTATTTGATATTTCTTTGCATAAATATGTAGCGTACGGTACTCGATTAGTACCACGTGGATCTACGTTAGGTTTGTCCACTTTTGCTAGGGTACTCATGCATGCACGTGTCTTCCTTTACCGTACACCATTCGTGTCCTTTGCCGGATATTTGTACTCCTTTTATTGCACGTTGTAATTATT